AGTCTGTTACAAACTTGATTTTAGCCCAGTGAGGCCATTCATAATTCTGACATTAATTGTAAGATGATGAATTGTATTGTTTTAAGCCCACTATTTATAGTAAATTGTTATGGCAGCAATATGGAAATAATACAGACTTTGGTTCTTAAAAGTGGGTTATGGCTCTAAAACATTCCTAAAAATGTGGCAATGGCTTTGGGCAGTGGGTAGAGGCTGGAAGAATTTTAAGTAGAATGATTGAAAAAAAAAAAAGCCTAGATTGCCTTGAGCAGTTTGTAGAAATGCGGATGCTGAAGACCTAGGGAGGACTCTGAAGGAGGAAAGACATGGAAGAGAACATCTATGTTGTCTCAGAGAATTCATAAATCATCCTGAACAGCACAAGTATGTACGAACATGAAGGTTAAAGGTATGACTGGTGAAGGCTCAGAAGGGAATAAAGAATACGTTTTTGGAAACGTGAGGAAGAGGATTCTTATTATATAGTGACAGAAAGTGGAGCAAAATCCTGTCCTGCAGATATATAGAAAGCAGAACTTTCTGGATATACACTAAGGAGGTTTCTAGGTGATGAAGATGCAGCTGGTTTCTGTTTTGCTGCTTAAAGTAAAATGTGAGAAGAACAAAATAAACTGAGGGGAGGAGAACTGCTCAACAAAAAGAAATCAAGACTTGATGATTTCGATTGTCTTAGCTTACTCCGGCTACAAAAGATGCTAAAATTGAGATTCTCTGTCAGGTTAAGTGTGCTCTGTAGAATAACCAAGAGTGTGGCTGAACAACTTTTGCTAGAGCCTCGGAAGCAGCGAAAGATCAGAATATTTAGTCACAGAAATGTTCTTTGATGAGACTAAGCATGTAACTCATAGATCTCCTCAGCCATCTCAGCTGAACTAAAATATAGATATGTGATTATATAGGCAACATCTGTGGAGGAGCCGCTTGTCTAATGAAGCAAATCCCCATGACATACATGGGAGACCTATAAGGTTCTTGAGAATTTTATACCAACAGAAACAGAGATGTCCATGTCTAGTCCCTGGAGCCTCTAATCTGTCTCTTTAGATGGTGAAAGAGAGTTTGAAAATGGGGTTAAGGTAATGAAATGGGGCAATTATCCTGGATAATCTAGGTGGCCCCAGTCAAATCATGTAGATGCTTAAAATCAGAAAAACTCTCCTGCTGTGCAGAGAGGGCTTTGTGTCTATGGAATAATGATCAGAGATGTAAACTGGCTGTGTTTGAAGATGGAAGCAGAAGGCAATGAGTCAAGAAATGTGGGCAGCACTTAGAGCTGGAAAAGGTAAAAAAAAAAAAAAAAAGGATTCTTTCTTACTATAGCCTCCAGAAAAGAACAAAGCCCTGTGGGCACCTTAACGTGAGGCCAGTGAAACTTAGTTTGGACCTTTAGAACTGCAAGTTAAAAACCTGTGTTGCTTTAAGTTGCAAAGTTTTGAGGAATTTATTACAGACACAACAGAGAACTACCACCTTTCATAGGATTTTAAAAAAGAGAGAGAATATTTTACTTTTATATGATTACTTTACATCTTTCAAATAGGCAATTTATATTTTTTAAATGCTCACATTTTTGTTGCTTTTTTAATTTTAAAATCTATGAACTTTATAGACTTTGTTGGGTATCTTTTCAGATTTTTCCTGCCCATGTATTAACATATTTAGAATTACATTGCTTATCTGAGTTAATCTATTCCTAGTGTTACATTTCCCTTATTTTAATCAGTATATCAAGCACACATTTTGCCAATTTAAGAGTAGATACTTTTATTTCATTCCTGTTTTAATTTGCATTACTATAATTTTTTAGTGTAGTTGAGCATTTATCACTGGTTATTGGTCATCTGTTGCTCTTCTACAAATGCCTGGTATCTGTCTTATCTGTGTTGCTGTTATGTTGGTCATACTGTCCAATAATTAATATATTACATGTTAAATTTTGCAAATGTATATTGTTAATATTTTGTCTCATTTAATGTTAATTTTTAGGTTTTTAATTGTATGTTTTTTCCTAGAGAAGTTTGAAAATTTTAGATAGCTAAATCTGTCAGGGTTTTCTTTTATGGCTTTACATAAAATTTATACAAAGTTTTTAAAGATTTTATATTTGGTTCTAGAATATTTGAAAGTAGGTAAAAGTGGTTAATACATTTAACAACCTTTTTCTTCATAAGTTGGAATGCCCTTTATATGCCTTTTCTTTCCTGTATTCATGGATCTGTGTCTGCATTCTACACTGAAGAGCTACACTAGGGCGGTTTCCTTCTGGAAGGAAGACTCAGGGCATTTGTGAATCCCAGATATAATTATGCCTCTCTATCTCCCATACTTCCTAGGTGTTTCCTCCTCAGGTGCCTGCATCTTTGCTCTTCCTTCACTGCTAAAAACCATTCCACTGGCTGCAACTTCATCTTTCTCTCTAATAATCATTTGTCACTCAGACTTTTCATGCAGAAGGGTCAGATACAAGCAGGGCAAAGGCATTTCCAAAGAATATAAACAAATCCTCTACCCGTGGTCGGCAAACTGCGGCTCGCGAGCCACATGCGGCTCTTTGGCCCCTTGAGTGTGGCTCTTCCTAAGCCTTAGGAGTACCCTAATTAAGTTAATAACAATGTACCTACCTATATATTTTAAGTTTAAGAGATTTGGCTCTCAAAAGAAATTTCAATCGTTGTACTGTTGATATTTGGCTCTGTTGACTAATGAGTTTACCAACCACTGCGAGGCACTCCGAAGCATGGGAAAGAATGAAGCATCCTTACCAACAGAACAGAACTCAGATTTTCAGAATTGATCTAATACAATGCCATTAATCCCCAATTACTTTTGTCCTAATCACAATGCAGGAAAGAGCTGATCCCTTTCTTCCTTCCTTGGGGACAACAGCCTTCAATGACCAAAGAGCCATATTAGAGAAGTGTGGACAAGAGGAGATGAGGTCATAGAGTTAGATGATCAGAGCATTGGATGTAGCTTTTGATAAAGGGCACACCATTGTCAGACAGCACTAGTCCAGCTAGCCATGCAATTTGAAGATTGTTCTAGAGTTTCCTGAGCTCCTCTTTCAGCTTTGGAGAAAGCTGATGAGGAGAAAAAATGAGGTAAAGCAAGAGAACACAAATATCAAGTAGACACCCTCTCCATTAGGTTACCCATCATTATCCTCTCTGCCACTGAGTCAGAGCTCAAACAGGAGCTGCATGCACAGTGTTTGACTTTGTCTCCAGCTACCTAACTGCAGTGGAAGAGCATAGCTGGAGAGCTTCCTGCAGAACATGACAGCACCTGTATGTTTCATTGTCATGTAAGAATCAAGGGGGCTGACTGGATTGGGAGTTAGACAGTTTTATTGAAGCCTGTCTCTGCTAAAGCATTCTAATTGTATGAGGTTTCAGAGGTGAGATGAAGATGCACATCTTTCATTATGCAACAAAAATACCACTGAAACAAAACTGAGAAACTCTGGAGATTTGTGAAATAAAATTTCCTAAGAACCTCTGTCTTTATAGAAACAACCTCAACATGGGAGGACGTTTTACGTGTGCAATTTTAAAATGAGACACAATAAAGAAACTTCTCTTTCAGAGATAAGAAAGCACACAGATGGGACTATGGATTTTGATGCTGAAATACTTCCCGTGATCTGTGGAGAAATGGTGGGCATGTTAATTAAGAGAAAATTTGAACGAGGTAGGTTTCAAGGTTCACTTTAATCTGCAACCACTATGTGAGGGAATCACAAAAAGTAATGGAATACCCTGATCATTCAAGAAATTTGGGCCCCAGTTTTGTCTTGAGAAGAGGTAGGGTCCCCAAGATGATATTTTTACACTTTAAGAAATGGTGCATAAGTTCTCACTTCCACATGGAAGTGTCCATGAGGATGCCCAAGGAACCAAAGAGAAGTGCAGAAATGTCAGTCTGTGGATGGAAAATATTGCATATTTTACTTTGAATCAGCCTCCACCTTCATATCCTATACCCCTTCTGGAAACCATCATCAGGATATATGTTTAATGTAGTGAAAAGTTCACAAAATTTAGAACCAGAAAAATGTGAGTCCCAGCTTCAGCTCTGCCAAGAGTGACTGAATAAAGAATGGGACCTCTCTGAGCCTGATACTTCTCATCTAAGAAATGGATAATAATTAAAAACCTGCCTCATGGTGTGACTTTGAGAGTTAATTTACATATTGACTATAAAATGTGTTGTGATTTTTAACATAAAGCTTTCCAATAATTGTCTATTATGATAAGCTTCATATCAGATTAATATTCTTTTGTGAACAAATAAAATAAATAAATGTTTGCATCATAACTATTTTTAAATAGCTTTACTGAGCTATAACTCACATATCATATAATTCACCTCTTAGAGTGTAGAATTCACTGTTGAGTTTTTTGTTTGCTTGGCTTATTCACAAGATTATAAAACCATCATCACAATCTAATTTTAGAACCTTTTTGTCCCCTACTAAAGGAAACACCATGTCTCTCAGTAGTCAATACCCATTCCGCCTCACCCCACTACCCAGCCCTAAGCAACCATTAATCTATTTTATGATCTATAAAACTGGCCTATTCTAAGCATTTCACATCAATAGACTCATGTGACATGTGCTTTTCTGTGACTGGTTCTTTCACACAGCATGATGTATTCAAGGTTCATACATATAGTACCACATTTAGTATATTTCATTTTTTTATTGTCAAATACTATAATAGTCCATGGTATGGGTATAAAATATTGCATTTATCTAAAGTTTGGGTTTTCTCTCTCTTTAGCTATCATGAATAATGCTGTTTTGTGTAAAGTTTTTGGTGAACATATATTTTTAATTATTTTTGCTATATACTCTGGAGTGGAATTGCAGGATACATGGCAATTCCATGTTGCATTTGTTGAGGGAAAAAAACAAACTATTTTCCACAGTAATGCACCAGTTTATATGCTCATCAGTGAAATCTGAGGGCTCCAATTTCTCTGCATTCTCACCAATACTTGTTATTGTCGGTCTTTTTCATTACCGCCATCCGAGTGAGTGTGATGTAATATCTCAATGAGGTTTTGATTTCCTTTGCTCTAATGAATAATGTTGTTAAGTGTAACACTATCTTTTATACACAAGTTAAATTTTCTACTGAAAATATTTCATATTATTTTAAAGTCAGCTACCCATGATTTCAGGGATAGAAAAGTATCTGCTCAATAAAGCCAATGAACTGGAAGAAAATTGCTGTAATACAGGACACAGATGTTGCTTTGAAGCCATTGTGAGAAACAGGACCAGGACTTGAGATTTCAAACCAAAGCAAGAAATCCCCTGGGAGGGGACTCACAAGGCTGGGTTTGGGGATTCTCAAGTATGAAATGTGAGGCCAGACTTTTCTGCTAGTGATCTTGTACCCAAATTGGGTGGCTTCAGATGCAATGTAGTGGGAAGTCAGTGTCTGAGCTCTGAGGACAATGAGGTTTCAGATTCAACTTACCCCGGTCTTACAGGATCCACGGTGAAGTGTATAAGAAGCCAGGATGGAAATTGGTTCACCCTACAAGAATTTGAACTTAAAGGAGGCGTCAAAAACGCTAACTGGAAAACGAGTGTGCGCTGCAATGGAAGAACCCTAAAATGGCTGATGGAGGTATTACAGTGACAGGAACTTGGAAGTGATTTTCCTGGTTGCACTCTAAGATAGGTCACTTTTTGTCCACCAAATATATGTTGACTGACAACTACCACCCCAAGTCCCGACATTATGCTTGTCCCACACTCATAACTTAATACAAGGCAGTGCATTGATTTGTCAAAGAGGCTCCGTTGAGGTAGATGCAGGGAAAGGTCATTCTGACTCAGGTGCTTGCAGACAACTTTAGGCACTGAAAGAAAGGAGACAGTCTATGGCCAAACAAGTGTGCAGAAGGCACTCCAGAGAAAGAATGGTGCGAAAACCAGAACCACAACTAATGTGGCTCCGTGGATTGAAGTAGATAGTGTGTTAAACAGCATAATCCATCAATTGGGGTTGTTTGTGGAAGGATTTAATGCCAGGCTATGTAGTTTAAACTCATACCATAGACAATGCAGAACCATGAAGGTCTCCTGAGGTGGGAAGTGACATATTTAAAACAGTATCTCAGACAGCATGGGGCCTGGAAATGATTTCACTGTCTTTCAGCCCAAGAAACCTGTAGTCAAACTACAATCCTCAGCTCCAATGTCACCCTCTCTGAATATTCCCTGACTGACCTGCCTTGTCATCCCTTCCCTGCGTCCCTGGACCCCAATATTAAGGCCCTTCTCACAGTTTTATACTTGTCCTTCCATGCAATCCCTTATTCTCCTAGATCCCTCTAGTTTTACACATCTTTGTGGGATCAGCATTGTTCAGAGTGTCTTATACCCTGTAGGTATGGGATACATGTGTAATGACTGAATAGCCTGGTGTAAAGATGTAAGCTTGAGTGGCACTGGTAGAAATAGAAAGGAGGTGAGAGGTGTTAAAGAGATTGTGAATGAAAGGCTCTTAAAACTTAGGGGAAAAGCACAAGAGCAAGGAAAAAGGTTCTGAAGATGACTTTCTGGGTACCATTGATTGTGTATGCCTAGAATCTCCTTCCTCCAGTAGTTAATCTTCTTCTAGAAAGAAGAAGAACAGGTGAGTAGAGGGAGATGGTGTCTCATTCAGATGCCTTGGTTTGAGCTGACAGTGGGACATCAAGTGGAAATATTTGGGAGGAGGTTGCAATGCCAGACTCACAAAACATAAACACAGGCTAACCATACTCTTGGATCTTTTTATCTTTCAGGAAAATTTTCTACCTCAACCTCCAAGAATATATGGCAAGATAAAAAAGGTGATTATTACTTAATACAAGTGCTTATTACATAACTAATTTTATATGTACAGCATCTTTTTATGGTTTCTCAGTTTTGTATTTAACATTGTTTCCTCTTCTCCTCTCCTCTGTCTTTATTTTATTTAATTAAGTTATTCATTTTGCAAGTGCCTTCAGATTTGTTACATTGAACATTAGGTTGTATGCAAGGTCACCTTTGAATGGTAAACCATTTGAGATGAGAATAATAAGAAGCCATCTCATAGCTGAGTTTTAGCTATAGTTGCAGATGTCAGGGAGTCCAAGTTGTAAAAGCAAACATAATTATGGAATACATAAAGACATTTCTTAATGAGGTCACAGACTCATCTTTAAATCAGCACAGATTTTTTTTGTAAAGGTTATTGTATTCTAACTTTAATGAAATCTGATGGAGCAAAAATTTGCTCACCATCATCCAGAAGAACCTGATCTAGTACAGAGTCTATATTGGGACATAAACAAAACCATGTACTATTCCATAAGATGGGCAACTCGAAGCATATTTCTCTTCTAATTTTTTACATCATCTTCCATCCTTCTATAAAATATACACACAGACATACAGAATACTTTATCAAGCAGAAATTACTGGCAATTTTCATGAGGATGGTGTTGTTGGAGAAGGAGCTTTTGGGAGACTGATGTGTCTTACATGAGGGTCTGACCTGGAAATTGTTTACTTTAATGCCACCCCTTTGGTTCTACTCAGGGGCTGTGCAGGCCACCTGTCTCTCCATGAAAGTGATTTCTCCCTCTACGGAAGAAGGCTATCAAGGCAACAAACAAAATACATAATGGGCAGTGTAGATTCAAGACAAAGTGACGATTTCTCCAATATTGAGTGTGAATGAGAGCTTGAAAAGGAGGGAAAGGTGAAAATTTCAGAACAGGTTGCACATAGCTGGCTACTGAGACTTTATCTTCCAGAAATGTGAAGTCCAGGCCTTTACATTAACTGAAATTCTGGTTCTTTTGAACTACCAGTCCTTGGGACATTTTACCCACTGGGTTTATTGAAGATAAATTGTTGTTTGACCTATTCAGTGACTACTTTAAACAGCAGTATTTCCACCATTCTCCATGTACTATCTAAAGTTACTCAATATGGAGTATCTAAAAGAGCTAGTACTCAACTTCCAATGCACAGGTTCTATCTTTATCCATGGGTGCAATACTTTGCAGCAACAAGGCTCAATTGCCCCTTTATTTTGTGTCTCCTTGATCAAGAACAGAAATGACCCAAAGTGACAGATCTCAGGACCCATTACTACCTCTGTAGGTCCTCTTTGCCTCCAAGAACTTGTCTTGTTGATAAAGCCTCCTGGTTTCTGGAAATTTAAATGTCACTCATGACACCACTCAACAACTTCCTGTCTCCTGATGAGGGCCACCTGTACTTTCTAGTGACAGCTTCTGTGTTGTCAAATAACTTGATATACACTGCCAAACAATCATTTATCGTATGTTAATATTTACTAAAGAGATAGCATGTAATCTCTTTTCCTAAGTGAAACAATACTCATTTATTTACTCATTCAACATATAAATATTGAGTGCATAAAAATGCCCAATTTCCATTGAAGAACATTAAAATAATATCCCTGACCTTAGTATTGTTTCAACTTCATTGTCTACCATGGAAGATTAACTATTGGAGGAAGGGGATTCTAGGCTTACACTAAAGCAATGAAAGTGTAGTACCTGGTAGTCAGCTTCCTGTGAAAAGTCAGTGAGGTGCCATCTTGGGATTTGGATCACAGGGAGATGAGGATAGTCTTCTGGAAGAGGAATTGTAATATCAAGTGTGTTGAATTCATTTTAACTTTTGGGTGGTGTCCCAGAAGAGCTACAGGAGGTGGTAGAGTTATCTATGTGGTACTGTATGGTTCCCAGAACCCTGAATGATAGATGGTCATGTCATACTACCCATGGTGAAGAGTCTGTAGGTAGAAAGCAACTGTTTCAGCATGAGTGGCCTCACTCTTATTAATAGTCTTTCCTATGATAGATATTACAGGCCAATTCATCATTGTCTTATTATATCCTCAGGCATTAAAACTCACACTTGTGCAGGCTAAATCTCAACTCAAGTTGCACACTGGAATCATCTGAAGACCTTTGAAAAATAACATTGCCTGAATCCCACTCTAGACAAAATCTCATTTAAATCCTTCTGAGTTATGATTCAGACATTAGAATTGTTAAAATGTCTTCAGATGATTTTGATACACAAGTTACTCATTCCATAACTTAGGGAGAATACCAATGCCTGTGCCTCAAATCAGAAAAATTGATTCAGAATCTCTGATGTTGGGACCAGGAATTTAGTATTTTATATACTCTCCTTGACAATTCAAATGTGCAGCTGGGCTAAGAAACAAAGAGCCTCAGAGAAAAGGGTTCTAAACGTGATTAAAGATTATGGATGCAGGATTCTTATGCACTGCTTATATTTGTTATTTTTTTGTTCTGAAGAGAGGGTCAGCACTTTCTGAAGAATGATGATGGTAATCTGTGAATCCTTATAGAGAGGAGAAGGAAAATGGCCCCAGGTCTCCATGCTAGAGCAGTCTCATATTGCACTGGGGATGTGATTCAGGATTCTCTGGAACACTGAATGGGAGCTGTTGGCAAGATGCTCCTTGAGCCTTGCACTTTCTCATATATGGTCACTAACAGAAGTCATGTGTTTTTAAAAATATATTTTATATTGATTTCAGAGAGGAAGGGAGAAGGAGAGAGATAGGAACATCAATGGTGAGAGAGAATCATTGATAGGCTGCCTCCTGCACTCACCAGACTGGGGATTAAGCCCGCAAACTGGGCATGTGCCTTGTCCAGGAATCGAACTGTGACCACCTGGTTCATAGGTCGACACAACCACAGAGCCACACTGGCCAGGCTCACATATGGCCACTTTTAAAAGCAAAAGAAATGACCAGAATTTTGTTTCCCCAAGATAAAAATTTCCATCCAAAAGTTCGGAACAAGACTCAAAATAACTTTTAGCAACTTTTCATCTTTTATTACTTTCTGCACAAAGAGAAATAACATAGCTGTGTTCCAAATTACTGTGTCCATTTGCTAAAAGGACATTTCTGATATTTGTGTGTTGTTAACCGAAATATGATACAGACTGAGAAACAGACCACTTTTTGTTATGTATTAGGGTTGGAAGCATTTTTTAGGGTCTCAGCAGACCTGTGCTCAGTGAACCTTAGAGGGATGACAGAACTAACAAAGTAAGCTTAGCAACTACTGTGAGGAGGATTGGGTATAGATAGAATTTTGGATACTAGTGAGAGTATAGAGCCAGAAAGGATTCTCAGGTTTGTGGCGGAAGGTGTATGTTTTATAAAATGAAAGTGCTAGGAAAGAACATGTAGTGGGTGTGAGGACAGAATACATTAAGTTTTCCCTGGATGAGTTTGGGTTGTGCTTTCATGGCTCAGGAGGAGGTGATGGGTGAGCATAGGGATGTGCACAAATGCAGAAGACAGGCTAAACATTTGGGAGCTGGAGACATAGCGATGTAACTGCAGTTTTGAGAGTGATTCAATGGAAACCTGAGAGATTCTGTCTAAATGTTGGAGGAAGAGAAGGACGAGAAATGAAAGATATGCAGCAGTGAGACTGATAGAGTGATGGCATGCGCCACACGTGTTTAGAGAAAGGAGAAATGGTCATGGCAGAGAAAGCTGGACGCTGTCATCCCTGCCTCCTCCTGCTCCTCAATGGACCGCTTTTGCTCCACCCAGCACTCATCAATGGGTGGCCAGTCCCCAAGCCAGTCTCATTTGTGTCACTTCAGATGGTCACAAGAGGGTAGGAATTTCTCCAATAGGCCATGGGATAGACAGGATGTTTCTATCTGGTACAGAACAGCCCTCAAGATGTTTGCAAGCTGTCTGGAATCTCTCAGAAGGCAGACCCAGGAAAGCAACCAGGAGCAAACATAGTTACTGATTCATAGGTAAATGTTGCTTTTCATTTTTGAAAAAAGAGAGGAAAAAGTGGTTTTCTGTTTTAATCACGAGGGATGCATATCCACCCAACAGTTTGGGGGATGGCAAATAACAGCATCTGTTACCTGACAGATGGATTGACAGGTGTTTATTAGTCACATATACTCCCACATTGAGAAAAGAGGGCAGTGCCAGCCATGCAGGCCTCACCAAGGTTGCCCTAAGGAATGGAGGGAGCAACCAGGGGCTGTGGAGGGTGAGGTGTGCCCTGGTTTCCCTGAGAGGTTGTAGCTGGCTTGTTTGAACAATTCTGTGGGTGGCAGGGCACTGAAACCTGTTATTCTAGGATGAGCAGGGTTATAAAAGCTCCCCTGGAAAAGGTCAGACAGGTAAACAATGCTCCTTGCCAGGGGACCATGTGTACCCTGCCCATCCTGGACTATCAGGTTTCACTGCCCTGTCAGCCACAGAAGCTCTGGTTTTACAGCAAAACCTTTCCTAATCACAAAGGCCCCTCTTCCTGAACTTCACCACAGACCAAGAGTTTTTTTTTCTGAAACCTCCATTCCATGCAGTTGGCTCACAGCTCAGGGAGAAGCACATAACTGTCCATGATGGTTTGCACAAAGATAATGAGATTCAAATTCCCACAGTGCTGGTCTTCAGGGTCTCACTGTGGTTACAGACATTGTTTTACCTTCTAGCTGGAAAACGCAGAGAAATGCATGATCTGCTGGGAAGAAGGAAAGTTCATCTACTGCTGTGTTTGTCGGATGGGATTTCATGGGGACTGTCACCTCCCACCTGTGGAACCTCAGAGGTTTGTGAGATGCAGCCCCCTCTCCTTTCAAAGACCTTCCTCCTGCCATGCACACTCCCCCTGCAGAGTTCCTCCTTGTGTCCTGATGGGGAAAGAGCAGGGCCAGGGGTACATAGTCCAACAATATGATGTGGGGAGCTGTTAAAAATGCTATCAGTAGGAAGTTACTGTTCTCTTCTCACCTTTAGGAGGCTGAAGTCTGTAGCTGGGTGCTTCGCCTATATACACTACTGTCCTTTCCAGAACTATCCACCACAGACTCTTGTTCACAGGAGTGCAAATGCCAGTTGTTTGTGTTCTGTGCGTATTCAGAACAGACAGTAAATAAGGACAGTTTCCCTTATTTTGGCATGTTCTCAACAGGTTAGTGGAGGCACAAGGCCTCCAGGGGTTAAGGCCCACTCTCTGACATTCAGGCATGAAGGCAGGACTCTTTGTTCTCTCAGAAGCTCAAACGAGGAAAGGGGAGCCCAACACTCACCTTGACACCATCTTCCACCCAATAAACCTCTGCTGCTACTCTAGGGACCAGGGTTACCACATGAGAGTCCTGGAGAATCTGAGAGCTGTCCCCTCATTCCCTGGCTGTGCCCATTCCTGAAAGGAGAACATTGGCAGCTGTGGGAACGAAGGTGTTTCTAGGCTTGCCTTGCTCACTTACTTCTGACATCTCAGGATCCCTTGGAGATGTACCTTCTGCACAATGGAATTGTCTTCACGAAGTCAGAAGCAGTGCTACAGTGAATCTGAAGTCCTGGCGAGACAGATGGGATCAGAAGAGAAGTCGGTGAGTTGTATTTGACCCAAGACATCTCCCTTCTGCTCACATGAGAAGTCAAACAGTCATGGGTGAAGGGAAGGGTGTCAAAGGGTGCCTGCTCTTCTGACCATGCCTCAAACACACTGAAAACGCACCAGAACCTGCTCACAGAAAACAAAACAAAAAAACAACAACTCAGCTATTACATGTTAGTGTCCAAGAGCAATCCCTGTTTGGGGAAACTTCCAGAAGATTACTGTGTTCATGCTTCTGCCTAGACATGCATATGGGCTCACTCTTGCCAAGCTGCTTTTCATTCACAGTCTCCTTCTTTGCAGAAATGTGAATTCCTACTCCTAAAGGCCTATTGCCATTTCGAGACCAACGTTTTTCCGAATATTCCACATGAAAATTATGTGAGTATCAACGACAAACCATGTATAGGCCCCATAATGTTACCCAACCTTGACACAGACACTTAGGAATCTGTTATCTGAAGCCCATGGGAGGGGGGGGCATGAGCTGCTTTTACCTTTACCTTGTATTTCCTCTAGATTTTATGGGAATCCACAGAATGTAGACATTGAA